CTGTGGGGTTTCTATGGGGCTCTATGGGGTCTCTATGGGGCTCTATGGGGTTTCTATGGGGCTCTATGGGGTTTCTATGGGGCTCTGTGGGGATCTATGGGGCTCTATGGGGCTCTATGGGGCTCTATGGGGTTTCTATGGGGCTCTATGGGGTGGGGTTTCTGTGGGGCTCTATGGGGCTCTGTGGGGCTCTATGGGGTTTCTGTGGGGCTCTATGGGGTTTCTGTGGGGTTTCTATGGGGTTTCTATGGGGATCTATGGGGTTTCTATGGGGTTTCTGTGGGGCTCTATGGGGTTTCTATGGGGCTCTATGGGGTTTCTATGGGGCTCTATGGGGTCTCTATGGTACCTATGGGGCTCTATGGGGACTCTATGGGGTCTCTATGGGGTATCTATGGGCCTCTATGGGGTATCTATGGGATATCTATGGGGCTCTATGGGGCTCTATGGGGCTCTATGGGTCTCTATGGTCTCTATGGATCTCTATGGGGCTCTATGGGGCTCTGTGGGGCTCTGTGGGGCTCTGTGGGGCTCTATGGGGCTCTATGGGGCTCTGTGGGGCTCTATGGGGCTCTATGGGTCTCTATGGAGTCTCTATGGGGATCTGTGGGGATCTATGGGGATCTGTGGGGTTTCTATGGGGCTCTGTGGGGTTTCTGTGGGGCTCTATGGGGGCTCTGTGGGGCTCTATGGGGCTCTGTGGGGCTCTGTGGGGATCTATGGGGCTCTATGGCGTTTCTATGGGGCTATATGGGGTCTCTATGGGGCTCTGGGGTTTCTGTGGGGCTCTGTGGGTCTCAATGGGGCTCTATGGAGCACTATGGGGTTCTATGGGGCTCTGTGGGGTTCTATGGGGCGCTATGGGGCTCTGTGGGGTTCTATGGGGCTCTGTGGGGCTCTATGGGGCTCTGTGGGGTTCTATGGGGCTCTATGGGGCTCTGTGGGGTTTCTATGGGGCTCTATGGGGGCTCTGTGGGGCTCTATGGGGCTCTATGGGTCTCTATGGGGATCTATGGCGTTTCTGTGGGGATCTATGGGGTTTCTATGGGGCTCTATGAGGTCTCTATATGGGGTCTCTATGGGTTTTTTGGGGTCTCTATGGGGTGTTTATGGGGTCTCTGTGGGGTCTCTATGGGGTCTCTATGGGGTCTCTATGGGGTCTATGGGGTAACCCATGCTCTCTTCCCCCTCCCCCCAGCCGCTCCCCCCCCCCGCCCCCCCCCCGGGCCCCATCGGCACCGAACGGGCCCAGAGAGCGAAGCCCCCCCCCGAGGAGGGGGGGCGGGGCCTCGGCGCGGGGGGGGGCGGGGCCTGGGGGGGGGCGGAGCCTTGGGAGCCCCCCCCCGACAGCGACCCCCGAGCCCAGCGCGAGAAGGAGCCGCCCCCAAGTGATGGGGTGAGGGGGGGGGGGGAGGGGCACTTGGGGGTCAGATGGGGGTCACGGGGTCACTTATGGGTCTGGGGTCACTTATGGGGTTTGGGTCACACGTGGGTCACGGGGTCATTTGTGGGTCATGGGGTCACTTGTGGGTCAGGGGGTCACATGGGGCTGGGGGGAAGTTGTGGGTCAGGAGGTCATTTGTGGGTCATGGGGTCACTTGTGGGTCAGGGGGTCACATGGGGCTGGGGGGAAGTTGTGGGTCAGGAGGTCGTTTGTGGGTCATGGGGTCACTTGTGGGTCACTGGGTCATTTGTGGGTCAGGGGGTCACTTGTGGGTCAGGGGGTCACATGGGGCTGGGGGGAAGTTGTGGGTCAGGAGGTCATTTGTGGGTCAGGGGGTCACTTGTGGGTCACTGGGTCATTTGTGGGTCAGGGGGTCACTTGTGGGTCAGGAGGTCATTTGTCACGGGGTCATGGGGGGTCACATTTTGGGTGGGGTCACAGGGGGTCACATGGGGCTGGGGGGGTCAGTTGTGGGTCATGGGGTCACGGGGTCTGGGGGAAGTTGTGGGTCAGGAGGTCATTTGTGGATCACAGGGTTACTTGTGGGTCACCTGGTCACTTAGGGGTCATGGGGTCACATATGGGTCATGGGGTCACATGGGTCTGGGGGTCACTTGTGTGGCATGGGGTCACTTATGGGTCACAGGGTCCCTTAGGGGTCATGGGGTCACATATGGGTCACGGGGGGCACCTGGGGGTGAGGAGGTTACTTGTGGGTCATGGGGTCACTTATGGGTCACAGGGTCCCTTAGGGGTCATGGGGTCAGTTGTGGGGCCGGGGGTCACGTATGGGGCTGAGGGTCACATATGGGTCAGGGTTCACTTATGGGTCACGGGGTCATGGGTCAGGGTCATTTATGGGTCATGGGGTCACTTATGGGTCACGGGGTCACGGTCATTTATGGGTCATGGGGTCACTTATGGGTCACGGGGTCACGGTCATTTATGGGTCATGGGGTCACTTATGGGTCACGGGTCAGGGTCATTTATGGGTCATGGGGTCACTTATGGGTCACGGGGTCACGGTCATTTATGGGTCATGGGGTCACTTATGGGTCACGGGTCAGGGTCATTTATGGGTCATGGGGTCACGGGTCAGGGTCGTTTATGGGTCACGGGGTCACTTACGGGTCACGGGGTCACGGTCATTTATGGGTCATGGGGTCACTTATGGGTCACGGGGTCACTTATGGGTCATGGGGTCACTTATGGGTCATGGGGTCACTTATGGGTCACGGGTCAGGGTCATTTATGGGTCATGGGGTCACTTATGGGTCATTTATGGGTCATGGGGTCACTTATGGGTCACGGGGTCAGGGTCATTTATGGGTCATGGGGTCACTTATGGGTCACGGGGTCACTTAAAGGTCAAGACCCCTCCCCCATTGACTCCCTGTCCCCTCCCCCCCCCCAGTTGGACTCCGCCCCCCCCCGCCCTTGGGAGCTGCTGCCGGGGGGAGGGGCGGGGCCTCCACCCCCCAACGGCCCCGAGGCTCCGCCCCCCGAGCCCAAAGGCCCCGCCCCCAACGGGGACCCCTCCCCCCCCGGGCACCGCCTGTACCCGGAGCTCTTCTACAGCGGAGCCGGCGCCGTGGGGCAGGTGTGGGGCAGGGTGGGGGGGGGGGGCGGTTATGGGGCTGGAGGGGTTGTTATATGTCCGGAGGGGGTGGTTATGGGTCTGGAGGCAGCAGTTATGGGTCTGGAGGGGGTGGTTATGGGTCTGGAGGGAGCAGTTATGGGGCAGGGGGGAAGTTATGGGTCTTGAAGGGGCACTTATGGGTCTGGAGAGAGCGGTTATGGGTCTGGAGGGAGCAGTTATGGGTCTCGAGAGAGTGGTTATGGGTCTGGAGGGGGTGGTTATGGGTCTTGAAGGGGCACTTATGGGTCTGGAGAGAGCGGTTATGGGTCTGGAGGGGGTGGTTATGGGTCTGGAGGGGGTGGTTATGGGTCTGGAAGGGGTGGTTATGGGTCTGGAAGGGAGTAGTTATGGGTCTGGAGAGAGCGGTTATGGGTCTGGAGGGAGCGGTTATGGGTCTGGAGAGAGCGGTTATGGGTCTGGAGGGAGCAGTTATGGGTCTGGAGGGGTGGTTATGGGTCTGGAGGGGGTGGTTATGGGTCTGGAAGGGAGCAGTTATGGGTCTGGAGGGGGTGGTTATGGGTCTGGAGGGGGCGGTTATGGGTCTGGAGGGAGCGGTTATGGGTCTCGAGAGAGTGGTTATGGGTCTGGAAGGGAGCAGTTATGGGTCTGGAGGGGGTGGTTATGGGTCTGGAGGGAGCAGTTATGGGTCTGGAAGGGAGCAGTTATGGGTCTGGAGGGGGCGGTTATGGGTCTGGAGGGGGTGGTTATGGGTCTGGAGGGAGCGGTTATGGGTCTGGAGGGGGTGGTTATGGGTCTGGAGGGGGTGGTTATGGGTCTGGAGGGGGTGGTTATGGGTCTGGAGGGAGTGGTTATGGGTCTGGAGGGAGCAGTTATGGGTCTGGAAGGGAGCAGTTATGGGTCTGAAGGGGGTGGTTATGGGTCTGGAAGGGAGCAGTTATGGGTCTGGAGGGGGTGGTTATGGGTCTGGAGGCAGCAGTTATGGGGCAGGGGGGAAGTTATGGGTCTTGAAGGGGCACTTATGGGTCTGGAGAGAGCGGTTATGGGTCTGGAGAGGGTGGTTATGGGTCTGGAGGGAGTGGTTATGGGTCTGGAGGGAGTGGTTATGGGTCTGGAGGGGGTGGTTATGGGTCTGGAAGGGAGGAGTTATGGGTCTGGAGGGGGTGGTTATGGGTCTGGAGGGGGTGGTTATGGGTCTGGAGGGGGTGGTTATGGGTCTGGAGGGGGTGGTTATGGGTCTGGAAGGGAGCAGTTATGGGTCTGGAGGGGGTGGTTATGGGTCTGGAAGGGAGCAGTTATGGGTCTGGAAGGGAGCAGTTATGGGTCTCGAGAGAGTGGTTATGGGTCTGGAGGGAGCGGTTATGGGTCTGGAAGGGGTGGTTATGGGTCTGGAAGGGAGGAGTTATGGGTCTGGAGGGGGTGGTTATGGGTCTGGAAGGGAGCAGTTATGGGTCTGGAAGGGAGCAGTTATGGGTCTGGAAGGGAGCAGTTATGGGTCTGGAGGGGGTGGTTATGGGTCTGGAGGGGGTGGTTATGGGTCTGGAGGGGGCGGTTATGGGGTGGGGTGGGACAGTTGGGGGTCAGCACTTGTGGGGCAGCGCTGTGGGGCTGACCCCTAGCCTGCCTCCTGCCCCCAGGTCCCACATCACCCTGTGCCCCCCGTGACCCACATCCTGCCATAGCCTGATGCACAAGCTGCTGGCAGCAGCTTCCGCCCGGGGACCCCATCGCTGAGCCCCTATAGGTGAGTGGGACCCACACCTGCCCCATAGCGTGACCCACATCACCCCCCAGTGAGCCACACCTGCCCCATAGCGTGACCCACATCACCCCCCCAGTGAGCCACATCTGCCCCATAGCGTGACCCACATCACCCTGTGCCCCATAGTGACCCACATCTGCCCCATAGCCTGTGACCCACATCACATCACCCTGTGCCCCCCCAGTGAGCCCCACATCACCCTGCCCCATAGCCTGACCCACATCGCCCCCATCAGTGAGACCCCCATCCCGCCCCATAGCCTGACCCACATCACCCCCAGTGACCCACAGCCAGACCCACATCGTGCCCCATAGCCTGATCCACATCGCCCCTCACCCCATAGCCTGCCCCACATCACCCTGTGCCCCACACCTTGACCCCCATCCCTCCCCACATCACCCTGTGCCCCATACCTTGACCCCCATCCTGCTCCATAGCCTGACCCACATCACCCCCAGTGACCCACAGCCGGACCCACATCGTGCCCCATAGCCTGACCCACATCACCCCCAGTGACCCACAGCCGGACCCACATCGTGCCCCATAGCCAGATCCACATCGCCCCCCCACCCCATAGCCTGCCCCACATCACCCTGTGCCCCATACCTTGACCCCCATCCCTCCCCATAGCCTGACCCACATCACCCCCAGTGACCCACAGCCGGACCCACATTGTGCCCCATAGCCAGATCCACATCGCCCCCCACCCCATAGCCTGCCCCACATCACACCCCCGTGCCCCATAGCTTGACCCACATCCTGCCCCATAGCCTGATGCACAAGCTGCTGCCCCACAGCCTGCCCCACATCACCGTATGCCCCATACCTTGACCCCCATCCCACCCCATAGCCTGACCCACATCACCCCCAGTGACCCACAGCCGGACCCACATCGTGCCCCATAGCCTGATGTACAAGCTGCTCCCCCATAGCCTGCCTTACATCCTGCCCCATAGCCTGCCCCACATCACCCTGTGCCCCATACCTTGACCCACATCCTGCCCCATAGCCTGATGCACATCACCCCCAGTGACCCACAGCCGGACCCACATCGTGCCCCATAGCCAGATCCACATCACCCCCCACCCCATAGCCTGCCCCACATCACCCTGTGCCCCATACCTTGACCCCCATCCTGCCCCATAGCCTGACCCACATCACCCCCAGTGACCCACAGCCGGACCCACATCGTGCCCCATAGCCAGATCCACATCACCCCCACCCCATAGCCTGCCCCACATCGTGCCCCATAGCCAGATCCACATCACCCCCCCACCCCATAGCCTGCCCCACATCGTGCCCCATAGCCAGATCCACATCACCCCCACCCCATAGCCTGCCCCACATCACCCTGTGCCCCATACCTTGACCCCCATCCTGCCCCATAGCCTGACCCACATCACCCCCAGTGACCCACAGCCGGACCCACATCGTGCCCCATAGCCTGACCCACATCACCCCCAGTGACCCACAGCCGGACCCACATCGTGCCCCATAGCCAGATCCACATCGCCCCCCCACCCCATAGCCTGCCCCACATCACCCTGTGCCCCATACCTTGACCCCCATCCCGCCCCATAGCCTGACCCACATCACCCCCAGTGACCCACAGCCGGACCCACATCGTGCCCCATAGCCAGATCCACATCACCCCCCCACCCCATAGCCTGCCCCACATCACACCCCCGTGCCCCATACCTTGACCCCCATCCCGCCCCATAGCCTGCCCCACATCACACCCCCGTGCCCCATAGCTTGACCCCCCCCTCCCCTCCCCCCCCCAGGCCGCTGCTGGTGCCCGGGGCCGCGCTCCCGCCCCTCCCCCCTCTCAAAGGCCCCTTCCTGGAGCTGCCCCCGCTGGGGGGGGGAGGGGCCCCGGAGCTGCCGCGGGGGGGGGGCGGGGGGGGGGCGGGGCTTCTGCTGCCCCCCCCGGGCCCCCCCTTCCTCTACAGCGCCCCCTACTGCGGGGACACGGCCCTGGTGCAGGTGAGGGGGCGGGGCCGAGGGGGCGGGGCTTCGAGGGAGTGGCAGCCAATGAGGGAGGGGCTGGGGCAAAGGGGGGCAGCGCTATGGGGTGGGAGGGTGAAAAAGGGGGCGGGGCCAGGAGGGACCGGGAGCCAATGGGGGATGAGGAGAGCAAAGGGAAGGGGGTGGGGCTATGGGGTAAAGGGGCGTGGTTATGGGGTGGGCGGGGCTAAGGAAGGGGTGGGGCCATTGGGGGGGTGGAGTAGGGAGGGGTTAAAAGTGGGTGGAGCCAGGAGAGACCAGAAACCAATGGGAGATGAGAGCAGGGGAGGGGTGGGCGGAGCTATGGAGTGGGCGGGGCCACGAGAGTCCGGGAGCCAATGGGAGAGCTCCTTGAGGTCAGGCCACGCCCCCCCCCCCCCCGCAGGTGCGCCAGGACCTGACCCCCCCCTCAGAGTTCTATGGGCAGGGGCAGGGCAGCTTCCAGCAGGTAAAGGCCAAGCCCCGCCCCCTTTGGGCCCAAGCCCCGCCCCCCTTGGGCCTAAGCTCCGCCCCTTCCTCCCCTCCCCCCCCCCAGATGCTGCTGCCGGTGCTGGACCCCCCCGTGGTGAACTTCGGGGCCCCCCCCGCGCCGCCCCTCCCCCCGCTGCTGCCCCTCGGCCGCCTCCTGGCCCCGCCCCCGCGTCCTTTCGCCCCTCCCCCCCCCGGCAAAGGGGGCGGGGCCAGAGGACGCCCCAGCGAGGCCCCTCCCCCCCCTCCTCCACCCCCTCCCCCACCCCCTCACAACCAACCCCGCGGGGCCGCCCCTCCCCCCCCACAACCCTGCCCCACTTCCGGCGCCCGCCGCGCCCCTCCCCCCGCCCGCGCATGGGGGGGGGAGGGGCCGGGGCGACCCCCGTGACCCCTCCCCCCCCTCCCCCCCCCTCCCCTATTTACGTGGGAGGAGGGGCCGGTGTCAATGAATTAATGGAGGGGGGGGAGGGGTGTCAGTGACCCCCGCTATGGGGTTCGCCCCTCCCCCACCCCCCCCCCCTCCCCCACCCCCCATGGTTTGGTTACAGAAAAGTGGAAAAAGGGCAAAACAAAAAAAAAAAAAAAAAGTTTTCAAAACCCCAAAATTTTGGCGTCTTTTTGGGGGTGGGGGAGGGGCCGGAGCTTTATTGGGGGGGTGGGGTCTCGGGGGGGGGAGGGGCGGGCTCCTCGTTGAAGGCCCGGTGGGCGTTGGGGAAGCGCCGGGGGGTGAAGTCGGGGTCGTCGCGGAGGCGGCGCCGGAGGTCGGCTTGGAGCTGGGGGGGGAGGGGGGAGGGGTAAAAAGGGGGGCAGCGCCCCATAGATCCATGGGGCAGGGCTTGGAGGACCAAACCCCGCCCCCTCCCCCCAAGCCAATGAATGGAACCTTCCCATGGCCATGTCCCATAGAGCCCCGCCTGATGGGCGCCCCCTAGCGGGTGGAGGCCAACTTGGTTGACCTTTCAACCCCCTTTCTCTATGGGGTGCCCCATAAGTGGAGCTGCCCCATAGCGCCCTGCCCCATATCCAACACTTTAAGTCGTCGTGTTCCCCACACACACATCCCCCCCCTTTACCCCGTCCCCCCAGCCCCATAGCTCCCCCCCCATCTCTGCCCCATAGCTCCCCCCCCTCTGCCCCATAGCTCCCCCCCCTCTGCCCCATAGCTCCCCCCCCTCTGCCCCATGGATCCCCCCCCTCTGCCCCATGGATCCCCCCCCATCTCTGCCCCATAGCTCCCCCCCCTCTGCCCCATAGCTCCCCCCCCTCTGCCCCATGGATCCCCCCCCTCTGCCCCATAGCTCCCCCCCCTCTGCCCCATAGCTCCCCCCCCTCTGCCCCATAGATCCCCCCCCTCTGCCCCATAGCTCCCCCCCCTCTGCCCCATAGCTCCCCCCCTCTGCCCCATAGCTCCCCCCCCTCTGCCCCATAGCTCCCCCCCCTCTGCCCCATGGATCCCCCCCCTCTGCCCCATAGCTCCCCCCCCTCTGCCCCATAGCTCCCCCCCCTCTGCCCCATGGATCCCCCCCCTCTGCCCCATAGCTCCCCCCTCTGCCCCATAGTCCCCCCCCATCTCTGCCCCATAGATCCCCCCCCCATCTCTGCCCCATAGCTCCCCCCCCCTCTGCCCCATAGCTCCCCCCCTCTGCCCCATAGATCCCAGCCCCCCAAGTACCTGCTCCCGGTACCCGTCCTGCAGGGGCCCCTCGCTCAGTTCCCGGCTCAGGCTCTCGGGGGGCCCCAGGGGCCGGGCCCCAGCGGCTCGGGCAGCGCGACCCACGGCTTCGGCCAGGAGCAATGGGGGGGGCTCGGCCTGCATGGTCTGAGCGGGGGTCAGTGGGGTGGGGTGGACATGGGGCTCTATGGGGCTCTATGGGGCTCTATGGGGCTCTATGGGGCTCTATGGGGTCTGTATGGGGCTCTATGGGGTCTGTATGGGGCTCTATGGGGCTCTATGGGGCTCTATGGGGTTTCTATGGGGTCTCTATGGGGTTTCTATGGGGCTCTATGGGGTATCTATGGGGCTCTATGGGGTCTCTATGGGTCTCTATGGGTCTCTATGGGGCTCTATGGGGTCTGTATGGGGCTCTATGGGGTTTCTATGGGGCTCTATGGGGTATCTATGGGGCTCCATGGGTCTTTATATGGTATCTATGGGGTCTCTGTGGGGCTGTATGGGGCTCTATGTGGTATCTCTGGGGTTTCTATGGGGCTCTATGGGTCTCTATATGATATCTATGGGGTCTCTATAAGGCTCTATGTGCTCTCTATGGGGTCTCTACAGGGCTCTATGGGGTTTCTATGGGGCATTATGGGGTGTCTATGGGGTCTCTGTGGGGCTCTACGGGGTCTCTATGGGTCTCTATATGCTACCTATGGGGTCTATGGGGCTCTATGTGGTATCTATGGGTTTCTATGGGGTCTCTATGGGGTTTCTATGGGGTCTCTATGGGGTCTCTATGGGGTTTCTATGGGGTTTCTATGGGGTCTCTATGGGGTCTCTATGGGGTTCTATGGGGTCTCTATGGGGTTTCTATGGGGTTTCTATGGGGTCTCTATGGGGTCTCTATGGGGTCTCTATGGGGTCTCTATGGGGTCTCTATGGGGCTCTGTGGGGTTTCTATGGGGTCTCTATGGGGTCTCTATGGGTCTCTATGGGTCTCTATGGGTCTCTATGGGTCGATATGGGGTCTCTATGGGTCTCTATGGGTCGCTATGGGTCGCTATGGGGCAGCCCCACCTTGCGGCGCTTGGCCGGCATGCCGCTCATGTAGGCATCGCTCAGGGGCGGCTGCGCCTTCGCCTTGCGCTGGCGCTGAGCATCCTCGCGCAGGATCGGGACCCACTCCTGGGGGGGGGTCAGAGAGTGGGGGCCCAGCCCCACAAGTGCCCCCCATCAGCCCCACAAGTGTCCGTCCCAGCCCAAGTGCCCCCAGCCCCACAAGTCCCCCAAAGCCCAAGTCCCTCCCCAGCCCCACAATTGTCCACCCCAGCCCAAGTCCCCCAAAGCCCAAGTGCCCCCAGCCCCACAAGTCCCCCCCAGCCCAAGTGCCCCCCAGCCCCACAAGTGCCCACCCCAGCCCCACAAGTCCCCCCCAGCCCCACAAGTCCCCCCCAGCCCCACAAGTCCCCCCCAGCCCAAGTCCCTCCCCAGCCCCACAAGTGCCCAGCCCCACAAGTCCCCCCCAGCCCCACTCACGGGGGGCACTGCAGCTGCCCAGGGCTCGCTCTCGGGGCTCAGCACCTCCTCGGCCGTGGTCCCCGGGGGGGGGGAGCCGCTGCCCTCTCTCTATTGGTTGAAAGAGGGGGGGGGGCGTGGTCAGACGAGGCCCCGCCCTCATTGTTAAGCCCCTCCCCCCGTCTTCTAAGCCCCGCCCACCTGAGCGTCCTCCGGGGGTGGCTCCGCCTCCTGCACGTCCATTGGCTCCTCAGGGAGAGGCTGGGGGGGGGGGGTCAATGGGGGGTCAATGCTGGTGCTATGGGGCACGGTCTATGGGGCAGATCTATGGGGCAGATCTATGGGGCAGGATCTATGGGGCACAATCTATAGGGCAGGCTCTATGGGGCAGGCTCTATGGGTCAGGTCTATGGGGCAGGATCTATGGGGCAGGATCTATGGGGCACAATCTATAGGGCAGGCTCTATGGTTCAGGTCTATGGGTCAGGCTCTATGGTTCAGGTCTATGGGTCAGGCTCTATGGGGCAGATCTATGGGGCAGGATCTATGGGGCAGGATCTATAGGTCAGGCTCTATGGGGCAGGTCTATGGGGCAGGATCTATGGGGCAGATCTATGGGGCACAATCTATAGGGCAGGCTCTATGGGGCAGGCTCTATGGTTCAGGTCTATGGGTCAGGCTCTATGGGGCAGGATCTATGGGGCACAATCTATAGGGCAGGCTCTATGGTTCAGGTCTATGGGTCAGGCTCTATGGGGCAGGATCTATGGGGCACAATCTATAGGGCAGGCTCTATGGTTCAGGTCTATGGGTCAGGCTCTATGGGGCAGGTCTATGGGGCAGATCCATGGGGCAGATCTATGGGGCAGGATCTATGGGTCAGGCTCTATGGTTCAGGTCTATGGGTCAGGCCCTATGGGGCAGGTCTATGGGTCAGGCTCTATGGGGCAGGTCTATGGGGCAGATCCATGGGTCAGGCTCTATGGTCAGGCTCTAGGGGTCACGATCTATGGGTCAGGTCTATAGGGCAAGCTCTATGGGGCAAATCTATAGGGATCTATGGGTCACGCTCTATGGTTCAGGCTCTGTGGGGCAGACTCTATGGGGCAGGCTCTATGGTTCAGGTCTATAGGGCAGGCTCTCCGGGGCAGATCTGTGGGGATTTATGGGGCAGGCTCTATGGGGCAGGCCCTATGGTTCAGGTCTATAGGGCAGGCTCTCTGGGGCAGATCTGTGGGGATTTATGGGGCAGGCTCTATGGGGCAGGCTCTATGGGGCAGGCTCTATGGGGCAGGCTCTATGGGGCAGGCTCTATGGGGCAGGCTCTATGGGGCAGATCTGTGGGGATTTATGGGGCAGGCTCTATGGGGGAGGCTCTATGGGGCAGGCTCTATGGGGCAGGCTCTATGGGGCAGATCTATGGGGCAGGCTCTATGGGGCAGATCTGTGGGGATTTATGGGGCAGGCTCTATGGGGCAGGCTCTATGGGGCAGATCTATGGGGATTTATGGGGCAGGCTCTATGGGGCAGGCCCTATGGTTCACGTCTATGGGGCAGGCTCTATGGGGCAGATCTGTGGGGATTTATGGGGCAGGCTCTATGGGGCAGATCTGTGGGGATTTATGGGGCAGGCTCTATGGGGCAGGCTCTATGGGGCAGGCTCTATGGGGCAGATCTGTGGGGATTTATGGGGCAGGCCCTATGGGGCAGGCTCTATGGGGCAGGCTCTATGGGGCAGATCTATGGGGCAGGCTCTATGGGGCAGGCTCTATGGGGCAGATCTATGGGGCAGGCTCTATGGGGCAGATCTATGGGGCAGGCCCTATGGGGCAGGCTCTATGGGGCAGGCTCTATGGGGCCGGGTGCTCACCTGCCGTGGGGCCGGGGGGTCTCCGACGCGCCTCACATAGGGCAGGACCTGCTCGGGGGTCACGGGCATCTGCTCCAGCACCGCCTGGAGCCGCAGCCCCACAACGGCCGTGAGCCAGCCCCCCAGCGCGGGGGCCACGTCGGCAGAGAGGCGGCGCTGTGGGGAGAGAGATAATGGGGGTCAATGGGGGGCAATGGGGCAATGGGGGTCAATGGGGCAATGGGGGTCAATGGGGCAATGGGGGTCAATGGGGCAATGGGGGTCAATGGGTCAATGGGGGGAATGGGGGTCAATGGGGCAATGGGGGTCAATGGGGGTCAATGGGGCAATGGGGCAATGGGGGTCAATGGGGGTCAATGGGGCAATGGGGCAATGGGGGTCAATGGGGGGAATGGGGGGCAATGGGGCAATGGGGGTAATGGAGGGCAGTTCGGGGTGTATGCGGGGCAATGGGGAGCAATGGGAGTAATGGGGCCAATGGGCAATGGGGGGTAATGGGGGTCAATGGGGGGTAATGGGGGTCAATGGGGCAATGGGGGAATGGGGCAATGGGGGGAATGGGGGGCAATGGGGGCAATGGGGGCAATGGGGGTCAATGGGGCAATGGGGGTCAATGGGGGCAATGGGGGTCAATGGGGCAATGGGGGTCAATGGGGGGAATGGGGGGCAATGGGGCAATGGGGGTAATGGGGGTCAATGGGGCAATGGGGGGAATGGGGGCAATGGGGCAATGGGGGTCAATGGGGCAATAGGGGTCAATGGGGGCAATGGGGGGCAATGGGGCAATGGGGGTCAATGGGGCAATGGGGGCAATGGGGGGAATGGGGGGGCAATGGGGGTCAATGGGGCAATGGGGCAATGGGGGGAAATGGGGGTCAATGGGGCAATGGGGGGCAATGGGGCAATGGGGGCAATGGGGGTCAATGGGGGGAATGGGGGGCAATGGGGCAATGGGGGCAATGGGGGTCAATGGGGGTCAATGGGGGCAATGGGGGCAATGGGGGTAATGGGGGTCAATGGGACTCAGTGGGGTTCAATGGGGGCAATGGGTGCTATAGAGGGCTGGTTATGAGGGCTATGGGGGGTTATGAGGGCCTATGGGGCTGGGGAGGGTAGGTGTCCGTAGGGTGTCTATGGGGTATCAGTAGGGTTCTATAGGTGTCTATGGGGCGCTATGGGTGTCTATGGGGTGCTATTGTTGTCTATGGGGTGCCTATGGGTGTCTATGGGGTGTCTATGGGGTTTCTATTGGGGTCTATGGGGATCTATGGGGTGTCTATGGGGTTTCTATGGGGGTCTATGGGTGTCTATGGGGTGTCCATGGGGTGTCTATGGGGTGCTATGGGTCTCTATGGGTGTCTATGGGGTGTCTATGGGGTGCTATGGGTCTCTATGGGTGTCTATGGGGTGTCTATGGGGTGTCCATGGGTGTCTATGGGGTCTATGGGGTGTCTATGGGGTATCCATGGGTGTCTATGGGGTCTATGGGGTGTCTATGGGGTATCCATGGGTGTCTATGGGGTCTATGGGTTGCTATGGGTTCCTGTGGGGTCCCTATGGGTCCCTATGGGTATCTATGGGGTGCTATGGGGTCCCTATGGGTCGCTATGGGGTCCCTATGGGGTCCCTATGGGTTGCTGTGGGTCCCTATGGGTCGCTATGGGGTCCCTATGGGGTTTCTATGGGGTCGCTATGGGTCGCTATGGGGTTGCTATGGGGTCCCTATGGGTCGCTATGGGTCGCTATGGGTCCTTATGGGGTGTCTATGGGGTGTCTATGGATCCCTATGGGGTCGCTATGGGGTCCCTATGGGTCGCTATGGGGTCCCTATGGGTCGCAATGGGGTCGCTATGGGTCGCTATGGGGTGTCTATGGATCCCTATGGGTGGCTATGGGTCGCTATGGGTCGCTGTGGGTCCCTATGGGTCGCTATACGGTCCCTATGGGGTTTCTATGGGGTTGCTATGGGTCGCTATGGGTCGCTATGGGTCGCTATGGGTCCCTATGTGTCTCTATGGGTCTCTATGGGGTCCCTATGGGTCGCTATGGGGTCCCTATGGGTCCCTATGGGTCGCTATGGGTCCCTATGGGTCCCTATGGGGTCCCTATGGGTCGCGCGCGGTGGGGGGGGGGGGTAGCGCTCACGATGCGGTCGCTGATGAGCGCCGCCAGGGCCCCGCGCTCCCCGCGCAGGCAGAGCAGGTTCAGCGCCAGGCACTCGAGGAGGCCCCGGTTACAGAGCTCCAGCAGGCGCGGCCCGAACGTCCCGTCTGGGGAGACCATAGAGACCAGAGAGACCATAGAGAGACCATAGAGACCATAGAGAGACCATAGAGACCATAGAGAGACCATAGAGAGACCATAGAGAGACCATAGAGAGACCATAGAGAGACCATAGAGAGACCATAGAGAGGCCATAGAGAGACCATAGAGAGACCATAGAGAGGCCATAGAGAGACCATAGAGAGACCATAGAGAGACCATAGAGAGGCCATAGAGAGACCATAGAGAGACCATAGAGAGGCCATAGAGAGACCATAGAGAGACCATAGAGAGGCCATAGAGAGACCATAGAGAGACCATAGAGAGACCATAGAGAGGCCATAGAGAGACCATAGAGAGACCATAGAGAGGCCATAGAGAGACCATAGAGAGGCCATAGAGAGACCATAGAGAGACCATAGAGAGACCATAGAGAGACCATAGAGACCATAGAGAGACCATAGAGAGACCATAGAGAGACCATAGAGAGACCATAGAGAGAGCATAGAGAGGCCATAGAGAGACCATAGAGAGACCATAGAGAGACCATAGAGAGACCATAGAGAGACCATAGAGAGACCATAGAGAGGCCATAGAGAGACCATAGAGAGACCATAGAGAGACCATAGAGAGGCCATAGAGAGACCATAGAGAGACCATAGAGAGACCATAGAGAGACCATAGAGAGGCCATAGAGAGACCATAGAGAGGGCATAGAGAGGACATAGAGAGGCCATAGAGAGACCATAGAGAGACCATAGAGACCATAGAGAGGCCATAGAGAGGCCATAGAGAGGCCATAGAGAGGCCATAGAGAGGCCATAGAGAGACCATAGAGAGACCATAGAGAGACCATAGAGAGACCATAGAGAGACCATAGAGACCATAGAGAGACCATAGAGAGACCATAGAGAGACCATAGAGAGACCATAGAGAGACCATAGAGAGGCCATAGAGAGACCATAGAGATCATAGAGAGGGCATAGAGAGACCATAGAGACCATAGAGAGACCATAGAGAGGGGATAGAGAGACCATAGAGAGACCATAGAGAGACCATAGAGAGACCATAGAGAGACCATAGAGACCATAGAGACCATAGAGACCATAGAGAGACCATAGAGAGGCCATAGAGAGACCATAGAGAGACCATAGAGAGGCCATAGAGAGACCATAGAGACCATAGAGAGGTGATAGAGAGACCATAGAGAGGCCATAGAGAGACCATAGAGAGACCATAGAGAGACCATAGAGAGGGGATAGAGAGACCATAGAGAGACCATAGAGAGACCATAGAGAGACCATAGAGAGACCATAGAGAGGCCATAGAGAGACCATAGAGAGACCATAGAGAGACCATAGAGAGACCATAGAGAGACCATAGAGAGACCATAGAGAGACCATAGAGAGACCATAGAGAGGCCATAGAGAGACCATAGAGAGACCATAGAGAGACCATAGAGAGACCATAGAGAGACCATAGAGAGACCATAGAGAGGCCATAGAGAGACCATAGAGAGACCATAGAGAGACCATAGAGAGACCATAGAGAGACCATAGAGAGACCATAGAGAGACCATAGAGAGACCATAGAGAGACCATAGAGAGGCCATAGAGAGGCCATAGAGAGGGGATAGAGAGGCCATAGAGAGACCATAGAGAGGCCATAGAGAGACCATAGAGAGGCCATAGAGAGACCATAGAGAGACCATAGAGAGACCATAGAGAGGGGATAGAGAGACCATAGAGAGACCATAGAGAGACCATAGAGAGGCCATAGAGAGACCATAGAGAGACCATAGAGAGACCATAGAGAGGGGATAGAGAGACCATAGAGAGGCCATAGAGAGACCATAGAGAGGGGATAGAGAGACCATAGAGAGACCATAGAGAGACCATAGAGAGGGGATAGAGAGACCATAGAGAGACCATAGAGAGGCCATAGAGAGACCATAGAGAGGCCATAGAGACACATAGAGAGACCATAGAGAGACCATAGAGAGCATAGAGACCATAGAGAGACCATAGAGAGGCCATAGAGAGACCATAGAGAGGCCATAGAGACACATAGAGAGACCATAGAGAGACCATAGAGACCCATAGAGACCCATAGAAACCACAGAGACCCACAGAGACCCCATAGAGACCCCATAGAGACCCATAGGGACCCCATAGAGACCCCACGGAGACCAATAGAGACCCCATAGAGACCCATAGAGACCCCATAGAGACCCCATAGAGACCCCATAGAGACCCCACAGAGACCAATAGAGACCCCATAGAGACCCATAGAGACCCATAGAGACCCCACAGAGACCAATAGAGACCCCATAGCACCCCAGAGACCCATAGAGACCCCCTAGAGACCAATAGAGAGCCCATAGAGACCCATAGAAACCCCACAGAGACCCACAGAGACCCCATAGAGACCCCATAGAGACCCATAGAGACCCATAGAGACACTATAGAGCCCCCACAGAGACCAATAGAGACCCCATAGCACCCCAGAGACCCATAGAGACCCCATAGAGCCCCACAGAGACCCCCATAGAGCCCCATAGAGCCCCACAGAGACCCCATAGAGCCCCATAGAGACCCCATAGCGCCCCATAGAGACCCCATAGCGCCCCATAGCGCCCCATAGCACCCACCGGTGCAGCGCAGGACGTGCAGGGCGATGCGGTTGAACTGCTCCTGCAGGAACTCCACATTGGTGCGGGTGATGTCGACCCCCTCGGCCACGTGCACCCCAGCCTGGGGGGGGCACCGCGACCCATAAGTGTGGGGCTGACCCATAAGTGTGGGGCTGACCCATAAGTGTGGGGCTGACCCATAAGTATGGGGCTGACCCACAGCACCCCCCACAGACCCCCCCATTTGCCCCACAGATCCCCTATGGAGCCCCATGGACCCTCTTGAACCCACCCCCATAGACCCATAAGTGTGGGGCTGACCCATAAGTATGGGGCTGACCCATAAGTATGGGGCTGACCCACAGGACCCCCCATAGACCCCCCCATTTGCCCCATAGATCCCCTATGGAGCCCCATGGACCCTCTTGAACCCACCCTCATAGACCCATAAGTGTGGGGCTGACCCATAAGTGTGGGGCTGACCCATAAGTGTGGGGCTGACCCACAGGACCCCCCCATAGACCCCCCCATTTGCCCCATAGATCCCCTATGGAGCCCCATGGACCCTCCTGAACCCACATCCATAGACCCATAAGTGTGGGGCTGACCCATAAGTGTGGGGCTGACCCATAAGTATGGGGCTGACACACAGGACCCCCCCATAGACCCCCCCATTTGCCCCATAGATCCCCTATGGAGCCCCATGGACCCTCCTGAACCCACCCCCATAGACCCATAAGTGTGGGGCTGACCCATAAGTATGGGGCTGACCCATAAGTGTGGGGCTGACCCACAGGACCCCCCCATAGACCCCCCCCATTTGCCCCATAGATCCCCTATGGAGCCCCACGGACCCTCTTGAACCCACATCCATAGACCCATAAGTGTGGGGCTGACCCATAAGTATGGGGCTGACCCACAGGACCCCCCATAGACCCCCCCATTTGCCCCATAGATCCCCTATGGAGCCCCACGGACCCTCCTGAACCCACCCCCATAGACCCATAAGTGTGGGGCTGACCCACAAGTATGGGGCTGACCCATAAGTATGGGGCTGACCCACAGCACCCCCAATAGACCCCCCCATTTGCCCCATAGATCCCCTATGGAGCCCCATGGACCCTCCTGAACCCACCCCCATAGACCCATAAGTGTGGGGTTGACCCATAAGTATGGGGCTTACCCACAGGACCCCCCCATAGACCCCCCCATTTGCCCCACAGATCCCCTATGGAGCCCCACGGACCCTCCTGAACCCACCCCCATAGACCCATAAGTGTGGGGCTGACCCATAAGTATGGGGCTGACCCACAGGACCCCCCCATAGACCCCCCCATTTGCCCCATAGATCCCCTATGGAACCCCACGGACCCTCTTGAACCCACCCTCATAGACCCATAAGTGTGGGGCTGACCCGTAAGTATGGGGCTGACCCATAAGTATGGGGCTGACCCACAGCAACCCCCCACAGACCACCCCATTTGCCCCATAGATCCCCTATGGAGCCCCATGGACCCTCCTGAACCCACCCCCATAGACCCGTAAGTGTGGGGCTGACCCATAAGTGTGGGGCTGACCCACAGGACCCCCACATAGACCCCCCCATTTGCCCCATAGATCCCCTATGGAGCCCCATGTACCCTCCTGAACTCACCCCCATAGACCCATAAGTGTGGGGCTGACCCACAGCACCCCCATAGACCCCCCCCATCTGCCCCATAGATGCCCTATGGAGCTCAATGGACCCCCCTGATCCCCACATCTGCCCCATACATCCCCCCGACCCCAATGACAACCATAGACCCCCCCCGCCCCATGGAGACCCCATATCCACCCCATAGACCCCATCATCCGGAGCCCTATGGATGCCCTACGATCACAACACAGCTGCCCCATAGATCCGTTATAATCCCCCCCAACCTCCAGCCCCACATCCACCCCACAGAATGCCCACCCACTGATCCACAGAGCCCCACAGAGACCCATAGAGACCCCATAGAGCCCCACAGAGACCCATAGAGACCCCATAGAGACCCCACAGAGCCCCCTAGAGCCCCCATAGTGCCCAACAGAGCCCCATAGAAACCCCAGAGAGCCCCATAGAAACCCCAGAGAGCCCCATAGAGACCCCATAGAGACCCACAGAGCCCCATAGAGACCCCATAGAGCCCCAGAGAAACCCCCCAGAGCCCCATAAAGACCCCATAGAGCCCATAAAGCCCCATAGAGCCCCCATAGAGGCCCCATAGAGGCCCATAGAGCCCCCATAGAGCCCCATAGACCCCATAGAGACCCCATAGAGCCCCATAGAGACCCCATAGAGCCCCATAGAGCCCCATAGAAACCCCATAAAGCCCCATAGAAACCCCACAGAGCCCCATAGAGGCCCCATAGAGCCCCAGAGAAACCCCACGGAGCCCCATAGAGCCCCCATAAAGCCCCATAGAGCCCCATAGAAACCCCATAGAGCCCCACAGAAACCCCATAGAGCCCCATAGCAACCCATAGCAACCCCATAGAGACCCCATAGAGACCCCATAAACCCCCATAGAGCCCCATAGAAACCCCATAAAGCCCCATAGAGCCCCATAGAAACCCCATAAAGCCCCATAGAGCCCCACAGAAACCCCATAGAGCCCCCATAAAGCCCCATAGAAACCCCATAAAGCCCCATAGAGCCCCATAGAAACCCCATAGAGCCCCATAGAGCCCCATAGAGCCCCATAGAGCCCCCCAGCCCCACTCACGAAGCTCTCCCGGATGAAGTCCTCCAGCCCCATGATGAGGTTGTGGGTCGCAGCCTGGGGGGGGGGAGGGGCCCAGCGTTAGGGGGCAGTTTTGGGGCGATTTTTCAGCTTTTTGGGGCTTTTGGGGGATGGGATTGGGGGATTTGGGGCAATTTTCTGTGGGTTTGGGGGTTCCGTGGGGCCTAAACCCAGTTTGGGTCAAATCCAGCCCAGTTTGGGTCATTTTGGGTCAATTCCAGCCCATTTTGGGTCAATTCCAGCCCAGTTTGGGTCAAATCCAGCCCAGTTTGGGTCAATTCCAGCCCAGTTTGGGTCATTTTGGGTCAATTCCAGCCCATTTTGGGTCAATTCCAGCCCAGTTTGGGTCATTTTGGGTCAATTCCAGCCCATTTTGGGTCAGTTTGGGTCAATTCCAGCCCATTTGGGTCAATTCCAGCCCATTTTGTCTCATTTTGATCCCATTTTGGGTCCTTTTGATCCCATTTTGGGTCCTTTTGTCCCATTTTGTGCCCATTTTGTCCCATTTTGTCCCATTTTGTGCCCATTTTGTCCCATTTTCTGCCCATTTTGTCCCATTTTGTGCCCATTTGGATCCCATTTTGTCCCATTTTGTCCCATTTTGTGCCCATTTTGTCCCATTTTGTCCCATTTTCTGCCCATTTTGTCCCATTTGGATCCCATTTTGTCCCATTTTCTGCCCATTTTGACCCAGTTTGGGCCCATTTCCAGCCCAGTTTGGCCCATTTTCCAGCCCAGTTTTCTCCCATTTTGTCCCATTTTCCAGCCCATTTTGGGTCAATTCCAGCCCAGTTTGTGCCCATTTTGCCCAGTTTGACCCATTTGGTCAATTCCATGCCCAGTTTGTCCCCCCCGTGCCATTTTGGGTCAATTCCAGCCCATTTCAGTTTGTTCTGGGTCAGTTTCAGCCCATTTTGATCCCATTTTGTCCCATTTTGATCCCATTTTGTCCCCCCCCGTGCCCATGGGGTGACTCACGCGCACGTTGCGGTCGCTGGGCCGATTTTGTCCCATTTTGTCCCATTTTGTGCCCATTTTGTGCCATTTTGACCCATTTTATCCCATTTTGACCCATTTTGTGCCCATTTTGACCCATTTTATCCCATTTTGACCCATTTTGTGCCCATTTTGTGCCCATTTTATCCCATTTTGTCCCATTTTGATCCCATTTTGTCCCCCCCCGTGCCCATGGGGTTTGGCCCATTTTGTGGGCCGATTTTGTCCCATTTTGTCCCATTTTGTGCCCATTTTATCCCCATTTTGACCCATTTTGATCCCCTTGTCCCCCCCCCGTGCCCATTTGGATCCCATTTTCTCCCATTTTGTCCCATTTTCTCCCATTTTGTGCCCATTTTCTCCCATTTTGATCCCATTTTATCCCATTTTATCCCATTTTGTGCCCATTTTGATCCCATTTTGTCCCATTTTATCCCATTTTGTCCCATTTTGTGCCCATTTTATCCCATTTTGTCCCATTTTGTGCCAATTTTGTCCCATTTTGTCCCATTTTGACCCATTTTGTCCCATTTTCTCCCATTTTGTTCCCATTTTGTCCCATTTTGTCCCATTTTGTGCCCATTTTGTGTCCCATTTTGTGCCCATTTTGATCCCATTTTGATCCCATTTTCTGCCCATTTTGATCCCATTTTGTGCCCATTTTGTGCCATTTTGTCCCATTTTGTCCCATTTTCTCCCATTTTGTCCCATTTTTTCCCATTTTGTGCCCATTTTGTCCCATTTTGATCCCATTTTGTCCCATTTTCTGCCCATTTTGACCCATTTTGTCCCATTTTGACCCATTTTCTCCCATTTTGACCCATTTTGTGCCCATTTTGACCCATTTTCTCCCATTTTGTTCCCATTTTGACCCATTTTGTCCCATTTTCTGCCCATTTTGGCCCATTTTGTCCCATTTTGTGCTCATTTTGTCCCATTTTGTCCCATTTTGTGCCCATTTTGATCCCATTTTGTCCCATTTTGTGCCCATTTTGTCCCATTTTGTCCCATTTTGTCCCATTTTGTCCCATTCTGTCCCATTTTGTCCCATTTTGATCCCATTTTGTGCCCATTTTGTCCCATTCTGTCCCATTTTCTCCCATTTTGATCCCATTTTGTCCCATTTTGTCCCATTTTGTGCCAATTTTGTCCCATTTTGTCCCATTTTGATCCCATTTTGTGCCATTTTGTGCCCATTTTGTGCCCATTTCGTCCCATTTTGTCCCATTTTCTGCCCATTTTATCCCATTTTGTCCCATTTTCTGCCCATTTTGTCCCATTTTGTGCCCATTTTATCCCATTTGGATCCCATTTTGTCCCATTTTGTCCCATTTTGTCCCATTTTGTGCCCATTTTGTCCCATTTTGTCCCATTTTATCCCATTTTGTCCCATTTTGTCCCATTTTGTGCCCATTTTGTCCCATTTTGTGCCCATTTTATCCCATTTTATCCCATTTTTTCCCATTTTGTGCCCATTTTGTCCCATTTTGATCCCATTTTGATCCCATTTTCTCCCATTTTGTTCCCATTTTGACCCATTTTGTCCCATTTTCTGCCCATTTTACCCCTTTTGGATCCCATTTTGTCCCATTTGGATCCCATTTTGTCCCCCCCCGTGCCCATGGGGTGACTCACGCGCACGTTGCGGTCGCTGGGCCGGGCGCCGCGCAGGAAGCGCTGCCGGAAGCAGCGGCGCAGGAGGGGCTGCAGGCGCTGCAGGGGGTGGCAGCGCCCGTGCAGGAGCAGGACCACGTCCACCATGGAGAGGTGCTGGGTGATGAGCGACAGCAGCGCCCCCAGGAACCCTGCCGGACCCATAGAGACCCATAGACACCCATAGAGACCCATAGAGAGCCATTGAGACCCATTGAGAGCCATTGAGACCCATTGACACCCATTGAGAACCATAGAGACCCATTGAACCCATTGACACCCATTGACACCCATTGAGACCCATTGAACCCATGGAGAGGTGCTGGGTGATGAGCGACAGCAGCGCCCCCAGGAACCCTGCCGGACCCATGGACACCCATTGAGAACCATAGAGACCCATTGAACCCATTGACACCCATTGACACCCATTGAGAGCCATTGAACCCATTGACACCCATTGAGACCCATTGAACCCATTGAGACCCATAGAGAGCCATTGAGACCCGTTGACACCCATTGAGAGCCATTGAGACCCATTGAGAGCCATTGAGACCCATTGACACCCATTGAGAACCATTGAGACCCATTGAGACCCATTGAACCCATTGAGACCCATTGACACCCATTGAACCCATGCAGAGGTGCTGGGTGATGAGCGACAGCAGCGCCCCCAGGAACCCTGCCGGACCCATGGACACCCATTGAGACCCATAGAGACCCATAGAGAGCCATTGAGAACCATAGAGACCCATTGACACCCATTGAGAGCCATTGAACCCATTGACACCCATTGAGAACCATAGAGACCCATTGAACCCATTGACACCCACTGACACCCATAGAGACCCACTGACACCCATAGAGACCCATAGAGAGCCATTGAGACCCATAGAGACCCATTGAACCCATTGACACCCACTGACACCCATTGATGCCCATTGATCCCCATTGACCCCATTGAACCCCACTGATCCCCATTGCCCCCCATTGACCCCATTGAACCCCATTGATCCCCCTTGATCCCCACTGCCCACCATTGACCCCATTGATCCCCATTGACCCCATTGATCCCCATTGACCCCATTGCCCCCCATTGAACCCCATTGAACCCCACTGCCCCCCATTGACCCCACTGATCCCCATTGACCCCATTGAACCCATTGATCCCCATTGATCCCCATTGCCCCCATTGAACCCTTTGACCCCCATTGATCTCCATTGACTCCCATTGAGCCCTATGGCTCCCCATTGCCCCCCATTGATCGCCATTGCCCCCCATTGATCCCCACTGCCCCCCATTGCCCCCCACCGCCCCCCACTTTCTCACTCACCGTCGGGGCCCCCCCCTCCTCCGTCCAGGGGCCCCCCCCCGCTCAGGCGCTGCAGGAAGGCCCCGATGCTTTCGGGGGGCCCGGGGGGAGGGGCCCCCAAGGGACCCAACATGGCCGCCAGCACCCCCTGCACCACCGACGTGAAGAACTCGGGGGGCAGAGCCTCCCCTCCCCCCCCCCCGGGGGGCGGGGCTTCTGCCCCCCTTGGGGGGGAGGGGCCTCGCTGCTGCAAGGGGGAGGGGGGAGGGGAAGGGGAGCGGGGAGGGGGAGGGGGGGGAGCGTCCGGGGGGGAGGGGCTCTGGGGAGGGGGGGAGGGGGGGGGAGAGAAAGGGGGGGGGGGAGGGGAGGAGTGAGGCTCCGCCCACATCGCCATATAAGGCAATGTATGCGCGCACCCCCCCCAGTGGCTCCACCAATCACAGAGCTCCACCCTATAAGCCACGCCCCCCACATGGGGCTCCACCCCCATCGCCATATAAGGCAATGTATGCACACACACACACCCCCCCAGGAACACCACCAATCAGAGAGCTCCGCCCCCATCGCCATATAAGGCGATGTATGCACACACACCCCCCAGGAACGCCACCAATCACAGAGCTCCGCCCCCATCACCATATAAGGCGATGTATGCACACCCCCCCCCCAGTGGCTCCACCAATCACAGAGCTCCACCCTATGAGCCACGCCCCCCACATGGGGCTCCGCCCCCATTTCCATATAAGGCAACGTATGCACGCACACACCCCCCAGGAACGCCACCAATCACAGAGCTCCGCCCCCATCGCCATATAAGGCGATGTATGCACACGCACACACCACCCCCCCCCAGTGGCTCCACCAATCACAGAGCTCCATCCTATGAGCCACGCCCCCCACATGGGGCTCCACCCCCATCACCATATAAGGCAATGTATGCACACACACACCCCCCCCCAGTGGCTCCACCAATCACAGAGCTCTACCCTATGAGCCACGCCCCCCACATGGGGCTCCGCCCCCATCGCCATATAAGGTGATGTATGCACACACAACCCCCCCCAGTGGCTCCACCAATCACAGAGCTCCGCCCTATGAGCCACGCCCCCCACATGGGGCTCTGCCCCCATTGCCATATAAGGCAATGTATGCACACACACCGCCCCCAGTCGCTCCACCAATCACAGAGCTCCATCCTATGAGCCACGCCCCCCACATGGGGCTCCGCCCCCATTTCCATATAAGGCAACGTATGCACGCACACACCCCCCAATCACAGAGCTCCCACCAATCACAGAGCTCCGCCCCCATCGCCATATAAGGCAATGTATGCACACACACCCCCCCCAGTGGCTCCACCAATCACAGAGCTCCACCCTATGAGCCACGCCCCCCACATGGGGCTCCGCCCCCATTGCCATATAAGGCAATGGGCCTCTCATTGAGCCCACCCCCAAAGTGGCTCCACCAATCACAGAGCTCCCCCCATTTAAACCACTCCCTTCCACCTAAAGCCACGCCCCCCACTTGATGCTCCGCCCCCCACCCCCATATAAGGCAATGGGCCCTCAGATTGAGCCCGCCCCCCCCCCCCCAGTGGCTGCACCAATCAGAGCGCTCCACCCCTTCAAGCCACGCCCCCCTCTCCATCAGGCTCCGCCCCCCACCCTCCATATAAGGCAATGAGCCCCGCCCCCTCCACTCACCGCCATCGCCATGGCAACGGGCGCCGGCCCCGCCCCCAGCAGCCCCCCCAGCAGCGCCGCCATTGGCTGCTCCTCGGCGGGGGGCGGGGCCTGCGGGGGCGGGGCCGAGGCCGTCGGGACCGGGCCCCCCGGAGCCCCCCCCGAGGGGGGGGAGGGGCCGGAGGAGGGGGGAGGGGGGGGAGGGGGGAGGAGCCTCCTTGGGCTGGGGGAGGGGGGGGGGAGAAAAGGGGGGTCAGGGGGGAGCCACAGAATGGACCCCCCTGACCCATAGAGACCCATAGGGACCCATAGACCCCATAGAGACCCATAGAGCCCCATAGAGACCCCACAGAGCCCCATAGACCCCCATAGAGCCCCCATAGAGCCCCATAGAGACCCCATAGAGCCCCATAGAAACCCCACAGAGCCCCATAGAGCCCCCCCACACCCCCATAGAGACCCATAGAGCCCCATAGAGACCCATAGAGACCCCATAAAGACCCCACAGAGCCCCATAGAGCCCCATAGAGCCCCATAGAGACCCCATAGAGCCCCATAGAGCCCCATAGACCCCCATAGAGCCCCATAGAGCCCCATAGAGCCCCCATAGAGCCCCATAGAGACCCCATAGAGCCCCATAGAAACCCCACAGAGCCCCATAGAGCCCCCCCACACCCCCATAGAGACCCATAGAGCCCCATAGAGACCCATAGAGACCCCATAAAGACCCCACAGAGCCCCATAGAGCCCCATAGAGCCCCATAGAAACCCCATAGAGACCCCATAGAGCCCCATAGACCCCCATAGAGCCCCATAGAGCCCCATAGAGACCCCATAGAGCCCCATAGAGACCCCATAGAGCCCCATAGAGCCCCCATAGACCCCCATAGAGACCCCATAGAGCCCCATAGAGACCCCATAGAGCCCCATAGAGACCCCACAGAGCCCCATAGAGACCCCATAGAGCCCCATAGAGCCCCATAGAGCCCCCATAGAGACCCCATAGAGCCCCCATAGAGCCCCATAGAGAAACCCCATAGAGACCCCATAGAGCCCCATAGACCCCCATAGAGCCCCATAGAGCCCCATAGAGACCCCATAGAGCCCCATAGAGACCCCATAGAGGCCCCATAGAGCCCCATAGAGACCCCATAGAGACCCCATAGAGCCCCATAGACCCCCCATAGAGACCCATAGAGACCCCATAGAGACCCCAGAGACCCCACAGAGCCCCATAGAAACCCCATAGAGACCCCATAGACCCCCATAGAGACCCCATAGAGCCCCATAGAGACCCCATAGAGCCCCATAGAGCCCCATAGAGACCCCATAGAGACCCCATAGAGCCCCATAGAGCCCCATAGAGCCCCATAGCGCCCCATAGCGCCCCATAGCTCTCACCCAGCACCAGCGGCTGCATCAGGAGCTGCCCCACGAGGCCGCTGATGACCTGTGCCAGCGACGCCCCCCCCGCGGGGGCCTGCGGGGGTCAGGGGGGGTCATGGGGGGCGCGCCCCATGGTGGGGACCCCCATTGAGCCCCACTGACCCCATTGATCCCCATTGACACCCATTGAGCTCCATTGACCCCATTGATTCCCATTGAGCTCCATTGACCCCATTGATTCCCATTGAGCTCCATTGAGCCCCACTGATCCCCATTGATTCCCACTGAGCCCCACTGACCCCATTGAGCCCCACTGATCCCCATTGACACCCATTGAGCTCCATTGACCCCATTGATTCCCATTGAGCTCCATTGACCCTATTGATTCCCATTGAGCTCCATTGCGCCCCACTGATCCCCATTGATTCCCACTGAGCCCCACTGACCCCATTGATCCCCATTGACACCCATTGAGCTCCATTGACCCCATTGATTCCCATTGAGCTCCATTGAGCCCCATTGATTCCCATTGAGCTCCATTGACCCCATTGATTCCCATTGAGCTCCATTGACCCCATTGATTCCCATTGAGCTCCATTGACCCCATTGATTCCCATTGAGCTCCATTGACCCCATTGATTCCCATTGACACCCATTGAGCTCCATTGACCCCATTGATTCCCACTGACACCCATTGAGCTCCATTGACCCCATTGATTCCCATTGACACCCATTGAGCTCCATTGACCCCATTGATTCCCATTGAGCTCCATTGACCCCATTGATTCCCATTGAGCCCCATTGATCCCCACTGACCCCATTGAGCCCCACTGATCCCCATTGATCCCCATTGACACCCATTGAGCTCCATTGACACCCATTGAGCCCCATTGATCCCCATTGATCCCCATTGACACCCATTGAGCTTCATTGACCCCATTGAGCCCCACTGATCCCCATTGATTCCCTTTGAGCTCCATTGACCCCACTGACACCCATTGAGCTCCATTGACCCCATTGATACCCACTGAGCCCCATTGACCCCCACTGACACCCACTGAGCCCCATTGATCCCCATTGACACCCATTGAGCTCCATTGACCCCATTGATTCCCATTGAGTTCCATTGACCCTATTGATTCCCATTGATTCCCATTGAGCCCCACTGATCCCCATTGATTCCCATTGAGCCCCACTGATCCCCACTGACCCCATTGAGCCCCATTGATCCCCACTGATCCCCATTGATTCCCATTGAGCCCCATTGATCTCCCCCCACTCACGGGGTTGGTGGCGGCCGCTTGTGGGGCTCCAGGATGTGTGGGGCGCGGGGGGGGCGCCGTGGGGCGGGCGATGACGACGCGGGTGGGGGGCTGGAACCCCCCCACAGCCTGGCCTAGAGCGGGGGGAACAAAGGGGGTGAGAGACAAAGAGGCCTGGGCTATGGGGCAGAGCTGCGCTATGGGTCACTATAGGGCAATATTGTTCTATGGGGCAGAGCTGTGCTATGGGTCACTATAGGGCAATATTGTTCTATGGGGCAGAGCTGTGCTATGGGTCACTATAGGGCAATATTGTGCTATGGGGCAGAGCTGCGCTATGGGTCACTATAGGGCAATATTGTCCTATGGGGCAAAGCTTTGCTATGGGGCAGAGCTGCGCTATGGGTCACTATAGGGCAATATTGTGCTATGGGGCAAAGCTTTGCTATGGGGCAGAACTGCGCTATGGGTCACTATAGGGCAATATTGTCCTATGGGGCAGAGCTTTACTATGGGTCTCTATGGGACAGCGTTGTGCTATGGGGCAGAGCTGTGCTATGGGTCACTATAGGGCAATGTTGTCCTATGGGGCAAAGCTTTGCTATGGGGCAGAGCTGCGCTATGGGTCACTATAGGGCAATACTGTCCTATGGGGCAAAGCTTTGCTATGGGGCAGAGCTGCGCTATGGGTCACTATAGGGCAATGTTGTCCTATGGGGCAAAGCTTTGCTATGGGGCAGAGCTGCGCTATGGGTCACTATAGGGCAATATTGTGCTATGGGGCAAGAGCTTTGCTATGGGGCAGAGCTGCGCTATGGGTCACTATAGGGCAATATTGTGCTATGGGGCAAAGCTTTGCTATGGGGCAGAGCTGCGCTATGGGTCACTATCGGGCAATATTGTTCTATGGGGCAGAGCTTTACTATGGGTCTCTATGGGACAGCGTTGTGCTATGGGGCAGAGCTGTGCTATGGGTCACTATAGGGCAATATTGTCCTATGGGGCAAAGCTTTGCTATGGGGCAGAGCCGTGCTATGGGTCACTATAGGGCAATATTGTCCTATGGGGCAAAGCTTTGCTATGGGGCAGAGCTGTGCTATGGGTCACTATAGGGCAATGTTGTGCTATGGGGCAAGAGCTTTGCTATGGGGCAGAGCTGCGCTATGGGTCACTATAGGGCAATATTGTGCTATGGGGCAAAGCTTTGCTATGGGGCAGAGCTGCGCTATGGGTCACTATAGGGCAACATTGTGCTATGGGGCAAAGCTTTGCTATGGGGCAGAGCTGCGCTAGGGGTCACTATAGGGCAATGTTGTGCTATGGGGCAAAGCTTTGCTATGGGGCAGAGCTGCGCTATGGGTCACTATAGGGCAATATTGTCCTATGGGGCAAAGCTTTGCTATGGGGCAGAGCTGCGCTATGGGTCACTATAGGGCAATGTTGTCCTATGGGGCAAAGCTTTGCTATAGGGCAGAGCTGCGCTATGGGTCACTATAGGGCAATATTGTGCTATGGGGCAAAGCTTTGCTATGGGGCAGAGCTGCGCTATGGGTCACTATAGGGCAATATTGTGCTATGGGGCAAGAGCTTTGCTATGGGGCAGAGCTGCGCTATGGGTCACTATAGGGCAATATTGTCCTATGGGGCAAAGCTTTGCTATGGGGCAGAGCTGTGCTATGGGTCACTATAGGGCAATGTTGTCCTATGGGGCAAAGCTTTGCTATGGGGCAGAGCTGCGCTATGGGTCACTATAGGGCAATATTGTGCTATGGGGCAAAGCTTTGCTATGGGGCAGAGCTGCGCTATGGGTCACTATAGGACAATGTTGTGCTATGGGGCAAAGCTTTGCTATGGGGCAGAGCTGCGCTATGGGTCACTATAGGGCAATATTGTCCTATGGGGCAAAGCTTTGCTATAGGGCAGAGCTGCGCTATGGGTCACTATAGGGCAATATTGTCCTATGGGGCAAAGCTTTGCTATGGGGCAGAGCTCCGCTATGGGTCGCTATGGGGCAGAGCTCCACTATGGGTCGCTATGGGGCAGAGCTCCGCTATGGGTCGCTATGGGGCAGAGCTCCGCTATGGGTCGCTATGGGGCAGAGCTGTGCTCTGGCGCAGTGTTGTGCTATGGGTCGCTATGGGGCAGAGCTCCGCTATGGGTCGCTACGGGGCAGAGCTCCGCTATGGGTCGCTATGGGGCAGAGCTCCGCTATGGGTCGCTATGGGGCAGAGCTCCGCTATGGGTCGCTATGGGGCAGAGCTCCGTTATGGGTCACTATGGGGCAGAGCTCCGCTATGGGTCGCTATGGGGCAGAGCTCCGCTATGGGTCGCTATGGGGCAGAGCTCCGCTATGGGTCGCTATGGGGCAGAGCTCCGCTATGGGTCGCTATGGGGCAGAGCTCTGCTATGGGTCGCTATGGGGCAGAGCTCCGCTATGGGTCGCTATGGGGCAGAGCTCCGCTATGGGTCGCTATGGGGCAGAGCTCCGCTATGGGTCTCTATGGGGCAGAGCTCCGCTATGGGTCGCTATGGGGCAGAGCTCCGCTATGGGTCTCTATGGGGCAGAGCTGGGCTCTGACGCAGTGCTGTGCTATGGGTCTCTATGGGGCAGAGCTCCGCTATGGGTCGCTATGGGGCAGAGCTCCGCTATGGGTCGCTATGGGGCAGAGCTGTGCTCTGGCTCAGTGCTGTGCTATGGGTCGCTATGGGGCAGAGCTCCGCTATGGGTCGCTATGGGGCAGAGCTCCGCTATGGGTCGCTATGGGGCAGAGCTCCGCTATGGGTCGCTATGGGGCAGAGCTCCGATATGGGCCGCTATGGGGCAGAGCTCCGCTATGGGTCGCTATGGGGCAGAGCTCCGCTATGGGTCGCTATGGGGCAGGCTCACCTGTGGCTGCGGAGGCAGCGGCGGCCACCGCCTGCTGGGTGATCTGATGGGCCACGGCCTGCAGGAACTCGGGGGGCAGCGGCGGCAGCTGCAGCGGAGACGCACCTGGGGGGCGGAAATGGGGGTCAGAGCCTGCCCCATAGCGGGACCCACAACCCCTGCCCCATAGCGGGACCCAGAAGCCCTGCCCCATAGCCCTGCCCCATAGCGGGACCCACAACCCCTGCCCCATAGCGTGACCCAGAAGCCCTGCCCCATAGCCCTGCCCCATAGCGGAACCCACAACCCCTGCCCCATAGCGGGACCCACAACCCCTGCCCCATAGCCCTGCCCCATAGCAGAACCCAGAACCCCTGCCCCATAGCGGGACCCAGAAGCCCTGCCCCATAGCCCTGCCCCATAGCGGGACCCAGAACCCCTGCCCCATAGCGGGACCCACAACCCCTGCCCCATAGCCCTGCCCCATAGTGGGACCCACAACCCCTGCCCCATAGCGGGACCCAGAAGCCCTGCCCCATAGCCCTGCCCCATAGCGGAACCCACAACCCCTGCCCCATAGCGTGACCCACAACCCCTGCCCCATAGCCCTGCCCCATAGCAGGACCCACAAGCCCTGCCCCATAGCCCTGCCCCATAGCGGGACCCACAACCCCTGCCCCATAGCCCTGCCCCATAGCGGGACCCACAACCCCTGCCCCATAGCCCTGCCCCATAGCGGGACCCACAACCCCTGCCCCCCCTGCCCCATAGCGGGACCCACAACCCCTGCCCCATAGTGGGACCCACAACCCCTGCTCCATAGCGGGACCCACAACCCCTGCCCCATAGCGGGACCCACAACCCCTGCCCCATAGCCCTGCCCCATAGCGGGACCCACAACCCCTGCCCCATAGCGGGACACACAACCCCTGCCCCATAGTGGGACCCAGAACCCCTGCCCCATAGCCCTGCCCCATAGCGGGACCCACAACCCCTGCCCCATAGCGGGACCCAGAACCCCTGCCCCATAGCGGAACCCAGAAGCCCTGCCCCATAGCCCTGCCCCATAGCGGGACCAACAATGCCTGCCCCATAGCGGGACCCAGAAGCCCTGCCCCATAGCCCTGCCCTATAGTGTGACCCAGAACCCCTGCCCCATAGCCCGACCCAGAACCCCTGCCCCATAGCCCTGCCCCATAACTCCCCCCATAGCCCACCCTATCCCATGATCCACGGCTCCACCCTATAGCCCTCCCCCATAGCGTGACCCCCAGCCCAACTCATAGCCCTGCCCCATAGCCAGCCCCATAACGTGACCCATAACCCCTGCCCCACAGTGTAAACCATACCCTGCCCCATACCCCAACACACACCACAGCCTGCCCCATAGCCCTGCCCCATAGTGCAACCCACAGCCTGCCCCATAGCCCTGCCCCATAGCGTCACCCGTAACCCCTACCCCATAGCGCAACCCACAGCCTGCCCCATAGCCCTGCCCCATAGCATCACCCGTAACCCCTACCCCATAGTGCAACCCACAGCCTGCCCCATAGCCCTGCCCCATAGCGTGCCCCATAGCCCCTACCCCATAATGCAACCCACAGCCTGCCCCATAGTGTCACCCGTAAACCCTACCCCATAGTGCAACCCACAGCCTGCCCCATAGCCCTGCCCCATAGCGCCACCCATAACCCCTACCCCATAGCGCAACCCACAGCCTGCCCCATAGCGTCCCCCGTAACCCCTACCCCATAGTGCAACCCACAGCCTGCCCCATAGCCCTGCCCCATAGCGTCACCCGTAACCCCTACCCCATAGCGCAACCCACAGCCTGCCCCATAGCCCTGCCCCATAGCGTGCCCCGTAGCCCTACCCCATAGCGCAACCCACAGCCTGCCCCATAGCCCTGCCCCATAGTGTCACCCGTAACCCCTACCCCATAGTGCAACCCACAGCCTGCCCCATAGCCCTGCCCCATAGCATCACCCGTAACCCCTACCCCATAGCGCAACCCACAGCCTGCCCCATAGCCCTGCCCCATAGCGTCACCCGTAACCCCTACCCCATAGTGCAACCCACAGCCTGCCCCAGCCTGCCCCATAGCATCACCCGTAACCCCTACCCCATAGTGCAACCCACAGCCTGCCCCATAGCCCTGCCCCATAGCGTCACCCGTAACCCCTACCCCATAGTGCAACCCACAGCCTGCCCCATAGCCCTGCCCCATAGCATCACCCGTAACCCCTACCCCATAGTGCAACCCACAGCCTGCCCCATAGCCCTGCCCCATAGCGTCACCCGTAACCCCTACCCCATAGTGCAACCCACAGCCTGCCCCATAGCCCTGCCCCATAGCATCACCCGTAACCCCTACCCCATAGTGCAACCCACAGCCTGCCCCATAGCGTCCCCCGTAACCCCTACCCCATAGTGCAACCCACAGCCTGCCCCATAGCCCTGCCCCATAGCGTCACCCGTAACCCCTACCCCATAGTGCAACCCACAGCCTGCCCCATAGCCCTGCCCCATAGCGTGCCCCGTAGCCCTACCCCATAGTGCAACCCACAGCCTGCCCCATAGCGTCACCCGTAACCCCTACCCCATAGTGCCCTGCCCCATAGCATCACCCGTAACCCCTACCCCATAGTGCAACCCACAGCCTGCCCCATAGCGTCCCCCGTAACCCCTACCCCATAGTGCAACCCACAGCCTGCCCCATAGCCCTGCCCCATAGCGTCCCCCATAGCCCCTACCCCATAGTGCAACCCACTGCCATAGTGCCCCACAGCCTGCCCCATAGCGTCCCCCGTAACCCCTACCCCATAGTGCAACCCACAGCCTGCCCCATAGCCCTGCCCCATAGCATCACCCGTAACCCCTACCCCACAGCCTGCCCCATAGCCCTGCCCCATAGCCCTGCCCCATAGCGTCCCCCGTAACCCCTACCCCATAGTGCAACCCACAGCCTGCCCCATAGCCCTGCCCCATAGCGTCCCCGTAACCCCTACCCCATAGCGCAACCCACAGCCTGCCCCATAGCCCTGCCCCATAGCGTCACCCGTAACCCCTACCCCATAGCGCAACCCACAGCCTGCCCCATGCATCCCCGTAACCCCTACCCCATAGCGCAACCCCACCTCCCTGCCCCATAGCGTCCCCGTAACCCCTACCCCATAGCGCAACCCACAGCCTGCCCCATAGCCCTGCCCCATAGCGTCACCCGTAACCCCTACCCCATAGCGCAACCCACAGCCTGCCCCATAGCCCTGCCCCATAGCGTCACCCGTAACCCCTACCCCATAGCTCTGCCCCATTGCCCCCCACCTCCCTGCCCCATAGCGGCCCCCGTAGCCCTACCCCATAGTGCAACCCACAGCCTGCCCCATAGCGCAACCCACAGCCTGCCCCATAGCGTCCCCCGTAACCCCTACCCCATAGTGCAACCCACAGCCTGCCCCATAGCCCTGCCCCATAGCGTCCCCCGTAACCCCTACCCCATAGCTCTGCCCCATTGCCCCCCACCTCCCTGCCCCATAGCTCGCCCCGCCCCCGCCCCCCAAGTGCCCCTCCCCCACTCACCCATTCCCAGGCCGTGCCCGGGGGGGGCTCCCGTGGCCCCTCCCCCCGGCGCCCCTGACTCTGGGGTGGGGGAGGGGAGAGAAGAGAACGGGGTCAATGGGGGGAGGGGGGAGGGGAGACCCCCGGGGGGGGGGGAGGGGGAGGGGATTTTGGGTCATTTTGGGTTGGTTTGGGGGTTTTTTGAGGGGTTTTGGGGGAATTTTGGGTGGGTTTGGGTTTATTTTGGGTGGATTTTGGGTCATTTTCAAGGCTTTTTTGGGGTCTATTTTGGGGTTATTTTGGGTGGGTTTGGGTCTATTTTGGGTCTATTTTGGTATTTTGGGGTCAATTTTGGGTGGTTTTGGGTTTATTTTGGGTCTCTTTTTGGGTCTATTTTGGGTTTGAGTGTTTTTGGGTGGATTTTGGGTGGGTTTGGGTCTATTTTGGGGTCTTTTTTTGGTGGATTTTTTGTGCTTTTGGCTGGATTTTGGGTGGTTTTGGGTCTATTTTGGTATTTTGGGGTCTATTTTGGGTGGTTTTGGGTGGATTTTGGGTCTATTTTGGGTCTATTTTGGTATTTTGGGGTCTATTTTGGGTGGTTTTGGGTTTATTTTGGGTTTATTTTGGGTGGGTTTGGGTCTAATTTGGGTGGTTTTGGGTCTTGGTGGATTTTGGGTGTTTTTGGGTCTATTTTGGTATTTTGGGGTCTGCTTTGGGTTTATTTTGGGTCATTTTCAAGGCTTTTTGGGGGGTAATTTTGGGGTTATTTTGGGTGGGTTTGGGCCTATTTTGAGTGGTTTTGGGTCTAGTTTGGGTGGTTTTGGGTCTACTTTGGGGTCTTTTTTTGGTGGATTTTTTGTGCTTTTGGGTGGATTTTGGGTGGTTTTGGGTCTATTTTGGTATTTTGGGGGCTATTTTGGGTGGTTTTAGGTCTATTTTGGGTTTGAGTGCTTTTGGGTGGATTTTGGGTGAGTTTGGGTCTACTTGGTAGTTTTGGGGTCTATTTTGGGTGTTGAGTCTATTTTGGGTGGTTTGGGGTCTATGTTGGGTTTATTTTGGATCTATTTTGGGTCTATTTTGGGTGGTTTTGGGTTTATTTTGGGTCTATTTTGTGTCTATTTTGTGTCTATTTTGGGTGGTTTTGGGTTTATCTTGGGTTTATTTTGGGTCAATTTTGGGTTTATTTTGGGTTTATTTCGGGTTTATTTTGGGTGGATTATGGGTGGTTTTGGGCAATTTTGGATGTAATTTGGGTGGGTTTGGGTGGATTTTGGGTCTATTTTGGGTTTATTCTGGGTTTATGTTGGGTCTATTTTGAGTCTATTTTGGGTGGTTTTGGGTCTTTTTTTGGTGGATTTTGGGTGCTTTTGGGTGGATTTTGGGTGGTTTTGGGTCTATTTTGGTATTTTGGGGTCTGTTTTGGGTTTATTTTGGGTGGATTTTGGGTCATTTTCAAGGCTTTTTTGGGGGTAATTTTGGGGTTATTTTGGGTGGGTTTGGGTCTATTTTGGGTGGTTTGGGGTCCTTTTTTGGTGGATTTTTGGTGCTTTTGGGTGGATTTTGGGTGGTTTTGGGTTTATTTTGGGTTTTGGGTCTATTTTGGGTCTATTTTGGGTTTATTTTAGGTGCTTTTGGGTGGATTTTGGGTCATTTTCCAGACTTTTTTGGGGATAATTTTGGGGTTATTTTGGGTGGGTTTGGGTCTATTTGGGGTCTATTTTGGGTGTATTTTGGGTGTTCTTTGAGTCTATTTTGGGTGGGTTTTGGTCTTTTTTTGGTGGATTTTGGGTGCTTTTTGGGTGGTTTTGGGTCTATTTTGGGGTTATTTTGGGTGGGTTTGGGTCTAATTTGGGTGGTTTTGGGTCTTGTTTTGATGGATTTTGGGTGGTTTGGGTCTATTTTCAAGGCTTTTTTGCGGTAATTTTCGGGTTATTTTGGGTGGGTTTGGGTCTATTTTGGGGTTATTTTGGGTGGATTTTGGGTGGATTTTGGGGGTTTTGGGTTTATTTTGGGTGGGTTTGGGTCAATTTTGGGTGTTTTTTGAGTCTACTTTGGGTGTTTTTTGAGTCTATTTTGGGTCACTTTCAAGGATTTGGGGGGGGGCAATTTTGGGTTTATTTTGGGTGCTTTGGGTGGATTTTGGGTGGGTTTTGGCTCTATTTTGGGTGCATTTTGGGTACATTTGAGTCTATTTTGGGCGGGTTTGGGTCTATTTTGGGTCTATTATGGGTTTATTTTTGGTGCTTTTGGGTTCATTTTGGGTGGGTTTGGGCAATTTTGGGTGCTTTTGGGTGGAATTTGGGTGGTTTTGGGTCTATCTTGGGTGGTTTTGAGTGAATTTCTGGTGATTTTGGGTCACTTTCAAGGTTTTTTTGGGGGCACTTTTGGGGTTATTTTTGGTGGGTTTGAGTCTATTTTGGGTGCTTTTGAGTGGATTTTGGGTGGGTTTGGGTCTATTTTGGGTCTATTTTGGGTGTTTTTGAGTCTATTTTGGGTGGATTTTGGGTCTAATTTGGGTTCATTTTGGGGTGTTTGTGGGCTGTTTTGGGGGTTGGATTTGGGAAATTCTGTGTGTAATTTGGGTGTTTTGGTTCTATTTTGCATGCTTTTGGGTGGATTTTTGTATTTTTGTATGTTTGGCTATTTAGGGTGTATTTTGTTCGGTTTTGGGATCTATTTTAGTTGGTTTTGGGTGGATTTTGGATTTTTTGCTCTATTTGGGGTGCTATGGGTGGTTTTGGGCCTCTTTTGGGGGTATTTTGGGTGGTTTGGGGTTTATTGTGGGTCTATTTTGGGGTGTATTTTGGCTAATTTGGAGCGTTTTGTGTTTCTGGGTCCTTTTTGGCTGATTTTGGGTGCATTTTGGGTGTTTTGGGGTGGTTTTGGGTCCATTTTGGGTGGGTTTGGGTGTTTTTGGGACCGTTTTGGGTGGTTTCGGGGTGTTTTGGGGTCTGTTTTGGGGTGGTTTTGGGTGTCCCTCTGGTGTTTTGGGGTGTTTTTGGGTGAATTTGGAGTGTTTTTGGCGTGTTTTTGGGGTGTTTTCTGGTTGTTTTGGGGTGTTTTGGTGTTGTTTTTGGCTGTTTTTTTGGTATTTTGGGGGTGTTTTTTTGGTGTTTTGGGGTGTTTTTGGGTTGTTTTTGGCATTTTTGGCATTTTTTGGGTTTTTTTTTAGTTTTTTTTGCCTTTTGGGGTGTTTTTTGTTTTTTTTTTGTTTTTGTATTTTGGGGTATTTTTGGGTGTTTTTTGGGTGTTTTGGGGGTGTTTTTTGCGTTTTTTTGGGTGTTTTTGGGGTATTTTTGGGGTTGTTTTTGGATGCTCTTGGGGTGTTTTTGGGTGCATTTTTTGTGGTTTGGGGTATTTTTGGGTTGGTTTTGTGTGTTTTTGTGTGTTTTTGGGGTGTTTTTGGGTTGTTTTGGGGTGTTTTTGTTTTTTTTTTGTGTTTTGGGGTGTTTTTGGGTGCTCACCGCTCCTTTGTCGAGGAAGAGGTGCCAGAATTCCAGGAATGGCTGTTTTTGGGGTGTTTTGGGGTGTTTTTGGGGTGTTTTTGTGTGTTTTGGGGGTGTTTTTGTGCGTTTTTGTGTGTTTTGGGGTGTTTTTGTGTGTTTTTGTGTGTTTTGGGGTGTTTTTGTGTGTTTTTGTGTGTTTTGGGGTGTTTTTGTGCGTTTTTGTGTGTTTTGGGGGTGTTTTTGGCGTTTTTGGGGGTGTTTTTGTGCGTTTTTGTGTGTTTTGGGGTGTTTTGGGGGTGTTTTGGGGTGTTTTGGGGTTGTTTTTGTGTGTTTCGGGCTCACCGGGGATGTTCATGTGCATGAGCACGAGGGGCTCCACGCTCTGGTGCGAGATCCGGATGACGCGGGGGGGGGGCGGCCCGGGGGGAGGGGGAGGGGGGGGCCCCTCCGGGGTGGGGGCGGCGTCCCCGGGGCTGCTGGGGGTGGAGGCGGTGGGGGAGGGGCCCGGGGGGGCCTCGGCCGAGCCCGCGGGGGGTGGGGGAGGGGCTCGACCCCCCCCGTTTCCCGTCATGGTCACGGTGGTGCCCACGTTGATCTGGAGGGGGGGGGGGGGGAGAAAAGAGGGGTCAATGGGTGGGGCCTGCCCCATAGCGCCCCATAGAGCCCATTATAGGGCGTCCTCCCATCCCATAGTACCCCTATATATGGGTCCTCAACCCCATAGCACCCATTATAGGGGATCCCCCATCCCATAATACCCATTATAGGGGATCCCCCTATAGGGTCCTCCTGCCCCCTAGGTGGCGCTATCCCCATACATAGTCCTCCTCACCACTAGGTGGCGCCATCCCCATACACACTCGGTCCTCCCCACTGCTAGGGGGCATTTCCTCCCCACACACGTGGTCCTCCTGCCCCCTAGGTGGCGCTATCCCCATTCACACACAGAGTCCTCCCCACCACCAGGGGGCGCTATCCCCATACCCACAGAGTCCTCCCCACCGCTAGGGGGCGCCTCCTCCCCACACATGCGGTCCTCCTGCCCCCTAAGTGGCGCTATCCCCATACACTCGGTCCTCCCCCCACTAGGGGGCGCTATCCCCATAGACTCAGTCCTCCCCACCCCTAGGGGGCGCCTCCTCCCCACACATACGGTCCTCCTGCCCCCTAAGTGGCGCTATCCCCATACACTTTCAGTCCTCCCCACCACTAGGGGGCGCTATCCCCATACACAGTCGGACCTCCCCCCCACTAGGGGGCGCTATCCCCATACACCGAGTCCTCCCCACCCCTAGGGGGCGCTTCCTCCCCACACATGCGTCCTCCTGCCCCCTAAGTGGCGCTATCCCCAAACATACTCAGTCCTCCCCCCCCACTAGGGGGTGCTATCCCCATACCCACAGAGTCCTCCCCACC